GTAGCAGTAGAATTCAAGACATGCGTTTCGTCCCATTTGGGATTCATCAAATAGATGTACCTGCCTCTCAGTGAGTGATTTTGTTTTCCACGACGACTATAAACCAGAACAGACTACCTCAGAACACTACCACAACACTACAATCAAGAAGTATCAACCCCTGTGGCATCAGTAATATGCAGATTCGTTGAAAACAAAACCCACGTTAAAGAGAATAAGAAATTACATAAATTCCAGTTGTATAAAAAAGGTTTTCATCAAAACACAAAACTAAGTGTAAAACACCACTTGAATCACTTTTCAATTAAAACAGGAATTTCACATTTCCCTCATTAATCGAATGCCAAAGTTTGCATCTCTTCAACATATACATCCGTAGACAGAAATAAACACAGAAATGCAGAGAAAGAGAGAGAGGGGGGAGAGAAAGAGACAACAACAACCAGATAAGAAATTCTTATCAAAAAAAACATGACTAAAAACATAAAAAAACATGCACAGCTAAATATCTGACTAAAATATCGAACCTATTCGTGAAACTTCAGAAAAAAGGAGAGCAACAAACAAAAGGTAGGTTAACAGCAGCAATGATGATAATTAGAAAGAGGAGAGGGACAGAAGTGAAATTAATTTATGGAGAGGCGAATTTACCCAAGTATGCCTATATGTATATATATGAGTAAGGTTTGGATTGTTGCCAAACTTTTAACCTGAACTACTACGCTATGGAATTTCATGATTATTATTTTTCCCTTGAGTTCCTAGTGGAACATAGGGCTTCAGTAGCACGTCTCCATTGCACTCTCTTATCTCCAATCTTTTCGACCTGGATCCACCACTGCTCATAACTTTTCACTTTTTCCTCACACCATCTCCTCCATATCACCCTCGCCTCAGACGCCCAACTCGTCGTTTCCCATTTGGGTTCCACTCGAGGGCCTGGTGTGTGATGTCCCCAGTCGGACTTCTCAGTGTATACACAATCCATCTCCACTTTCTTCTGCATACACGTTGGGCGATAGGTTGTTGATTGGTTCGTTGCCACAGTTCCTTGTTGCTTATTCTTTCTGGTCATCCATCTGATCTTCAGTATCGAGTGGGTGTAGGCGGCAGATGTTGATGAATGTCTGTAGTTTGTTGGAAATGCTTTTTGTAACGCGCCGCCAAGCTTCTGAACCATATAGAAGCACTGACTTGACTGAATTGGTGTTGAAAATCTGGGTCTTGTTCATGCTTTATGCGCGCACACACACACACACACCGGTTTCAGATTAATGAAAGCCTATCTTGCCTTTTTGATCCTGGCTTTGACGTCTTCATTTGTGTCATCTGTAGTTGAAACGATGCTGCCTTGCCTAGGCAGGTGAAAGAGACAACTTCCTTTAGGTTTCTTCCACTGATTGTGCTTGTTGTTTTTGTCGGTTGGGTATCTTCATCACCTCCGTTTTCTCTACATTCACTTGAAGTCCTGCCTTCGCTGCCCTGCTTCTTCTGTTAACTTGTTAACTTGGCAAGTTGTCCAGGGAGCTATATTCATCAAGTGGTGTCCGTCAAGGATGCCCACTATCTCCATTCTTATTTAATTTTATCATAGATATTCTTATGGAGGTTTCCCTCTCGTCACCTAACTACAGAGACGTTGACCCAATCACATGTGAATTTTCTTTAGATCTAGAATATGCAGATGACATAGTCCTGTTAGGTGAAGACGCTGACAACATGCAGAGTCTTCTGAACACTTTGCGTGGGAATTTGAGAATGTTTGGGATGCGGTTCTCACCACCCAAATGCAAATTTTTGCTCCAGGACTGCTCCTCAGCGGTGCCACGGCTAACAATAGAGAGTGAAGTGGTTGAGTGTGTTGACCACTTCACTTACCTGGGAAGTAGGATCAACCCCGGTGGGTTAGTTGCCGATGAGATCTCTGCACAAATACAAAAGGCTCGATTGGCTTTTGCCAATTTGCTCCACCTATGGCGCCACCGTGATATCCGTTTGTCCATTAAGGGTCGCGTGTACTGCACAGCAGTCCGGTCTGTTCTACTGTATGGTTGTGAAACACGGCCATTGAAAGTGGAAGATATAAAAAGGCTTCAGGTGTTTGACCACCGTTGCCTTCGTAGCATAGGCCATATTCCGTGGTATCACCACGTGAGTAATGCAGAAGTCAGGTGTAGAGTTTTGGGGAGAAGAGGTAAGTCAGTTGACGAGGTTGTGAACCGTCATCGACTGAGATGGTTGGGACACGTACTACTTATGCCTAGTCACCGATTGCCTCGTCACACAATGTTGGCTGAAGTAGGTCCAGGCTGGAAAAAGGCTCGAGGTGGCCAGACTAAAACATGGCACCAATGTATGAAGTGTTTGACTGTTTGTTTGAGTCATGTAGGGCGATGCAGACTAGGTGGTTGGGGTCCGTGGGACAAGAGGAACCAGTGGTTGGATAGTGACTCTAGGGGATATGGCTGAAAACCGATGTCAGTGGAGCAGATGTATACACACATTATCCTCATCTTAACAACGCTATATCGAATCTCACCATTTTGTCACTCCCCTTTCTTTTCTTCTCGTACTTTATATTTCTTTTGACTGCATTCTCTTATCTTCATCCTTCACCTTACTACCTTTCTACTTGATGAACTGACGTGAGGTGTGGCAACTCGGACCGTTACGCAGTAATGCCTGGTCCTATGTTGATAATGACTGATTGATTGATTGTTAACTTGTTGGTTTTTACCTGTAGATCCTCGAGTTTGTGCGACAAGACATTGGACATAAATCATCATCGGTGAAATCCAAATCTTCTAGACTCTTTTCATCGGTCCAGCGTATGCCCGTCTTCTCGCTCCCAACGGTTTGCTGCATGATCTAGTCCACCACAATCAGGAAGATCATTGATGATAGTAAGCAGTCTTGTCTTACTCCCATCTTCATTTCAAAGGCGTCACTGAGCCTTCCTTCGTGAATCACTTGACTAAATGCGTTAGATAAGGTTAAATTCTTTGCTGTAGGTTGTTTATACAACGAAATAAAATGATTCAGAAGGGTGTGTGCATTTAATAACGTTGCTGGAGTTATGTCGTACGCCATATACACTACGTCGTGACCCATTGGTTTATCCGGTTGACTTCTAATCGATAGGTCACGGTTTCGAACCGCACTCCACTTACCAAGGTCCAGGCAACCAGGTAGTATCACTAGTCTTCACACTGCACGAATGTGTACGAAGTAGCTGAGTGTATTTTGACATACTATACTTCGCCCTAACTAAATTACAGAATACGATGAAGTTAGTAGATTTTTATATATATCGAACAATAATCACGGTCAATCATTTAATCAAGACGGCTTCGCAACAAAGATTAAGAACATAGAAAAGGAAGAAGTAAGCTGTAGCGTAGCAAGATCAAAATAGTACAAAGGCATTAAGGTTGACGTTGTCACACTTCACATCAGCACATCAAGCGAGAAAGCACTATCACTGGAAATCATACTCGACTTACGCGGTAAGCAGATGAACTTTCAAAACACACGAAGTTAAGAGAAGAATGGATGCAGAAGTGATACACATTACTTTGACACAGTCATTATCATGAATAGAGTCGTAAGAATATAAATCAATAGAATACATAAATGAACATAGTAGAGCTCACAGTTAGGTCTATTTTTTACAATTTATTAACATGTACAACTTCCTGGATAAGAACACAATACTCCTACATAAAGCTTTTTTGTTGGGTAGAATTCCATGACAGCTGTTATCGTGATATTCCCAAGTCATTTAAATGATTGATACTGTATACTAAGCTAGTTTAGAAGACATGTTAGCATGGGATCACGCTTTCAAGAAATCGAAAACATAGAAACGCACTCACGCTAACCAGGCGGACATTAATGCAGTGGACAGTGAGCCGCATCTGTTATGTGAGGGTTATTGATATTTATCTGGCTGCCTAAACCTCGGTAAGTGCAGCAAACTTCGAACCAGTGGTCCAATGGTTGAAAGGCGACTCCCTAAATCAATGAGCCACAGTTCCAGAGATCACACTTTTCTACTAACGCATAGTGCGTAAACCCATGGTTAGTTGAGTTGCAGTATTTACTCATGTTATTACACATTTGGATTAGTCACTGGAGAACAAGCAACCAAATTCTATCGATGATTTTGCTATCTGGTCACCAAGCTAAGAGGTACACCATCGTGATGCAATTTGATAGACGTTATTTGATTGGAGGCAATTGGCAGGAAGCCCTGATTCACCTAGATTTCGGGCTTGTTGGTACGCATCGGCAAGGCGTGTATGCAACCTCGAGGGAACTGATGTCCCCTCAAATATCTGAACCCCGACGTTACAACTGACCTATTCGAGGTCCAGAGCATCCTGCCTGCAACTAAATAACATCCATCAAAGTCTACTGCGATGAGGAGTCTTATAGCTTGGTAGCTATATCAAAATATAATCGAAAGAATTTGGTCAGCGCTCGGGACAGGGAAAACCAGAAACTGGTTGTATGCCGTCCAGTGAAAAAAATGGTATATGTGATTCAGTCCTACGGGATGTTAATCTCGATCCGAATGCTTCAGTGGTAACGTCGCCGACTACGACACTGGGTGACGCGAGTTCGAATCCTAGAGGAGATATCAGTTTCCTTGAGTTTGCAGGTACGCCATGCTAACAACAAGCACGAAACCTACCGATGACCTTCAACTAGTGAAAAAACATCTAAGAAGCGACTATAATTCGAGAAAACTTTAAAATCATAGTAATTATTTCTTCCTGTAATGAAGACACCAGGTGAGGAAAAGATTTCCGTTTCAAGAAAACTCCTCTATACACTTACTACTTCTTTTCACATTTCAGATTAATGATGAAAACCAATACTGTGCAATTATTGCAGTGTTGAAGTCAACTAGATGAGTAAACTGATAAGAAAGAGATACACCCGCAAAAACATAAACTACTTCAAAGTACAATTAGAAATAGGACAAACAAACTTACTTATTTTCAGCTCTTGCCAAATTAGTCAAGTCGACACCAAAGACACGTTTCATTTGTTTAATATCTGGTACACAATCACACGGTACAAGATCAGCACATCGTTTATGCGCCTTTTAAAGAAAGAAAGCAAGATAAACCGCATAAGAAGTTAACGAATAGCTAATAAAGCATGCATGACACATAACAACACAAGGAAATAATAATTAATATACATAAAAAGGTCTTTCTTTCAGAAACAAGATCTAAGATAACTAGTGTAACGGTTCGATCTAGTGTTTAGCTTCCCGAGTTTATTCTCTACTAATACATCGCTCATCTTCACATACGCTTCACTTAGTTTACTGTATTACTTGCTCCGTTTTATGGTATTGCTTACAGGTGACATCACGAGTTAACTCTTTGTTATTTCCCATCATTCAGAGGCAAATTGATTTACAAAACATACTGCCTAAGTCATGCTGCAAATTATTTGTAGGCAGAGTACACAGTTCTGGCATTCCAAACAATTTACTGAAGATCCACTGATGTCATGCATATTCTCTATTATGATGTAAGACAGTCTAAAAGAAATAACACGAGAGTTTATCTAACTATACTTGTTCATTTGAACAATTCCTACTGTTTAATAAAGGTTCTAATCTTTCATGAAGGTACTAAGTTATCTGCAGTTGAATGTGGCGATCTAAGAAGTATGAACATCAGAGTTATGTCCGATATTAGAGCGTACATTTTAACATATTGCAGTTTAGTGTTAGTTCATCGTTCTTGATTCCTTTGAGATAAAGGAAACGCATAGTTACACAGAGATAATTTCAGCAGTTAGTCGCCTTTGATGTAATGGGACCGTTTCCGTAGAGCTAGTCGCAACTAATACATGCTGGCGAGGACAAAGCATGCAACAGACTTGGTAGATGTTGTGACACTTGCACATCAAGGTGCAAAGACAGTGATCGAAGCAGTAGTCCAGCCTATTGCGGCAGACCAAAGATTGTTAAAGATGATGTTGACAGATCAAGGTTATTGTCTTGATAGTGGTCACTTCAAATCTCATCTGGAACAGCTGGGTAACAAGGGAGTTCGACGATGTCACATTACCCAGAAACAGTTCAACAGAAACGAAAAACCGTACTCTGAAAGAATGACTGACTTCGAAAGGAGGCAACTATGAGATACAGTTGACACTAATTTTACTAGTAAATCGCACCTCCTTACGAGGGATTACTAAGAAGTCACACTTTCAGCCGCTGAACACTAGACAACTACAACTATCACTAAATGAAAAAGTCGATGTAGAACCTCGCACACACGTACATCGGTTGCCACACTTCTTAGTGTCATACAACAGGTGGATAGTTGTATGAGAGGATGAAAAATCTGAAGATAATGGATAGTGCAAATTTTCAAGCTTTAGATGTCAAGGAGCAAATGCATCTGCACGATGGTGACCGATTACCAGTCATGTTACCAATAGTTCGCAACCACTGATTCCTTTCGTCTCCCGGACCCCAGTCAGGCAGTCTACATCTCCCCCACATGGCTCAGACCAAGAGTTAGAGATTTCATGGACTGGTGCCACCTCCTGATCTGGCCACCCCGAACCCTTTTACAACTTCTCCTAGCATCGCACGTCAAGGTAGGCGGTTGCTCGTCATGCACAGTACATGTCCACGCCATCTCAGTCAACTGAGGTTCACAACCTCATCAATCGAGTTGCCTATCTTGCCTTGTACTCTTCGCTTGACCTCAACATTGCTCATATAGTGATTCCCTCAAACGCTAGCAATACTACGAAGATACCTGTAGTCCAAACTTGAGCAAGTGAAAGCCACTCCTACTGATCAGCAGATATGACTAGAGAGAGTAAAATTGATTCAAATGAAAGTGTTACTTTGTTTGCTTAGTGCTGAGGTTATCAGTAGTTCTCGACCTACAAAGAAAACTCTTATCCTCTAGAAACAACCTACAATAGAAATTCTAGGCTACACTTACATTTCCGTAGTAAGAAACAGACGAAAAGGTCAATTAACACAGTGTTTGGGATGAGGTTAATGCAAGAACAATGAAACAAAAATTGACTAACTCCTGGATTAGACAGATATTTTTGTACAGTTAGTGTTTCATGCAACATGCTTTCCAAAAATCCGCCAACATTGTGTGATTTCCTCTCATTATATCCTTGCTGACTATAACAGTATACACCTTTAAAAGCCACCGCGGAAAAACTGGCTTCACAAATATTCAGATGTAAAACATTCTTATTTACAGTTCTTGTAAAAGAATTATTTTATTACTATTGTTAATTACTCCCTAATTCCCCGACATGTAATTTACCATACCGCTGTAGCTTCATGCTACATAGTGACACGATAATGGAATAGTATTATTAAGAAAGTGATGTCTTATAGCTTACTTGAGTTGATTTTCACATAACCGCATGTGTTATGCATCCCTAATCACTGTACACCCCGTCGCACAACGTTAGCTGGAGTAGGTTCGGGTTGAATAAAGGCTCGTAGCGATCAGGCTAAAACATAGCATCATTGCATGAAGTCCTTGACTGCTCGTTCCAGTCATGTAAGGCGATGCAGATTAGCAAGTTGGGGTCCGCAGGACAAGAGAAACCAGTGATTGGAGATTGAAGGTGATAAGGCTCAGAACCGGTGTTAGTGGCGCTCATCTTAACCCTTAGTCTTATCATTTTCTCACTTCTCCTTCGCCTCTTTTATTAATTTCTACTGCTTTCGACCTATTTTTCTTTCTTTCTTCATCATTCATCTAATTAGATTTTTTACTTGATGTACTGATATGAGGTGTGACAACGTGAACCGTTAATGCTTGGTCCCATATTCATATTGATGACTAATGATATTCTGAATTTTGTATAAATCTATCTGTGGATATCCAATAAGCCAGTAAAATATTAGTCATTGTGTACATCAGATAGTGTGAAACTGCAGATCTGATTGATGAATTCTGAATAACAGTCATCCATCGCCAAACACTGATAGTTTTACATATCATTCGTTCTATTAATTTAACAACCCGCATTATAACTTCTTCAAAATACAATGATATCAACACAATTAACTCAAATTATGTGCAATGAATATGGGTTGGGATTCAACACGGAAATCGGTTGACCGACATCCAACACTTATTTAGGCTTTAGGTATCAGGTGAAACACTCATCATAGGGAAGAATAACTGAGTGTTACTTCATAGTAGAAGCAATAAGAACATGAATTTTAGTTTGGTTAAAAAATTGCTGATAATTTAATTGAGTACAGATTGCTCAATTAATAATCATATTTAGTCTCCATTCTTTTTCTACTGCAATACATCAAAATAATGCTCTCTACAGTTAGGTGTTGAGGAGCTACTGAAAACGTGAAAGCGACATGATGCGATAAATTCATTGTGTTCATCAAGCAGACAAAATATGACCGAATTTGAAGATTGTAAAGTATGACAGACAAATCATACTAGAACCTGACAAATGTATATCCGTCCGAGTTGCCGCACTTTACAACAGCACAGCAAGAAATGGATGAATAGAAAATGAATGACATGAAATTGGAAAATAGTCCATGACACCTTAGAGAATAAACGGGTGAGGCTTAGTAAAAATATTCAAGACTTCAAAGATAACAAGGATTGTATACATCTGCACCACTCAGACCAAGATTCCCACCATATCATAACCATATCCAACAATTGATTCCTTTCGTCTCGATGACCTCAACATGGCACTCAGCACCCTCCTAGACAGCTCAGACCAACAGTCAAAGACTTAATTTACGTGTGCTGCACCTTCGTCTGACCTCCTTTAGCCTTACTTCAACTCACTCATACTTCACATATTGCATGTAAACGAAGGCGGTGCCTCGGTATATGCAATACATGTACAAACACCACAGTTAGTAAAGGTTCACCTTATCGAACAACTTGCCTTCTTTGCCGAGTACTCTCAGTCTAAATCTACGCACTGTTCATTTTGTGGTTCCACAACAGGCGAGCAAAGTGACAAAGGTAGCTCCCATCGAAACCCTGTAACTGCCTATAACTTTACAGCTGTGTAACAAAACAGAGTGGACTGCAGTGCAGCATACCTGTCCGCTGATAGGTAATGGAATATTTCACCGATTTTAGAGCTGATGTAAGTTGCCAAATGCTAAGCGGGCCTTTTGCATTCAAGCTGGAATTTCGTCAGTACCAATATATTCAGAGTGATTTAACTTTCTGAGTGAGGCAATCAACACTCTTTATCATAAAAGTAGGAATCGGTGCAGACCAGTCTTAAAGCATCATAGTACCCTTGACAGGTGCTTGTATCCAACGTTGAATACTGCTATTTAGAGAACAGATACACAGCTCAATAACAAAACTCAGATAAAAGAGAAAAAGTTATTAACAAAGCGAAAGGTATATGATAATTCACTCTGAAAGTGCTAACTATCAGATACGAGGATATTGGTCTAAAACCGAACAACTTTATGGTAACCTGATAGTTTACAGTTTAGTAATATCAAACAGCTACGTCCTAAAAGACAGTTACATACAGTCTTAACTCAATTTAAACGAAATGATCAAAACTGCATACCTGAAATCCACAATCTACACATTTCATGCCTTGAGCAACAAGTCCCCAAATGAAATGCGTACAATAATCACACCAATGGGGTCCACGATAAGTATGAATTCTAAAATTGTGTGGTTTCACATTTGAAATGAAAGTACATGGATCAGGTAAACATGCAATAGGTAAGTTATAGCGTTCTTGAAGATTACGCATAGCATCATTTTGAGCGCAGTCAGAATCTGTAAATGATACATCATTGGTTGTTTTGTGAAACTTGCAGCACTTCCATTCAATCTGGAATTGGGAGATGAGATTCCATTTGAAAAAAGCCGATCAGATAAATTACTTCCAGATGACATATGCCTTGGAGCAAGCGATTCAGAGGAAAATTCGCATTCCAAATCATATGACTGAACAGGTAGGATACCCACTTGGCTACTAGAACTGCTGTTCGTACACGAACTTAGACTACTTGATTCACCGGAGAAACAAGTAGCAAGGGGTGCTTGCAGTAAACTGGAATTAACTGGTGAAGACTGATTATTTGAGGTAATAGTTTTAACAGCTAATACACTGTTAACTGCTGTAACTGGAGTAAAATTTGAAGTCTGAAAAGTAAACGAAGTGGAGTACAGCATGAATAATAGTGGTGAGTTGTGCAGATTGGAAAACTGATGACAAGTGTTTCAAGCATGAGGATCATGAAGCGACAAACTTAATGACAGCTTTTACCGGTTGAACAAGTAAATATAAGATTCTATCACTACTGGGGAACTTACATGCCATTCTTGAGTGGTTTAACAGCAAGAATCATGGATTAGAATCTCGAGAAATGTACTTATACACCTTTCCAATACTGATGAAACTATCTGACGTGATGGTGAAATGCTTATTAACAAGCATTAGAGCTTCGGTAAAATTCGACAACCATCACATTACAAATTAGTTCTGGTGTGACAGTAGGGAAAAAAAGGATCAAGTAAAACACACTATCCAATAAACAAGCGACTCATCGGATACCATGTAGTGAACAATGAAAAGCAGAATCAGAGAACCGTACTTAAGAGAGAAACTTGAAACAATTTTAACCGCACCAACAAAATAAATTATAGAAATAAAACATAGTAGCAAACGTCATAAGAGAACCTTATTACACAACGTCCCTATCTATTGGTCTGCACATAAACGTATAATTAATCCTTGCAACAGTGTGTAAAAATTGACTTTAAGATGCAGTCCATTATGCCTTCTACTGGTAAAATGACTACAACATCGGAGAAAAAGTATTTAAATAACATCAGTTAATATTGAACAGGGTATATTCTATTTTATTCTGTTTGTTAGAATCGTGAAACAGTATTATTTACTGGATCACCTTTCAGACAATTTATTGTTCATGTTTATATCAAGTTCATTTCAAGTTTTACTCCTGTACTGATGAAATATGTGGTCTTCCCGTTCGAAGGGTAATCAACAAACTCACACGCCTTTCACAGACAGAAGATAGATACACATATCATCGTATATTCAATATTCGATGTCTGAGAAATCAAATCATTCCTAAATATTTACCTCTACGTGCACCAATTCCAACACACAGAGTTAAAGCAGCTATAGAATGGGCCAGTTAACTCTTACAGAAATTCATAGAATGATCAACATCATGAATTATATCGAAGAATTAAAACGTTAGCTGATGCAAACAGTTAGTGAAAAAGACTATGAGCCTCTGATGGACAACTGCAATCAGGCAGGATCAGCTGCTTCCAAGAAATTCAAAAATACTTAAATTAAGAAGTTCAACGAACAGATGGAAGAAAGTATGCAGTCAGAAATAATGAGATTAGTGATTACGCATCACCAATGATCGATAAGTCAAAGTGGGTTGCCAATCTCTCAACTAGAGTCCTAGGCTCAACAGAAGTAAAGGTGCTAGAGAGAGACCTTAACTTCATTGTACTAGCTAGTGAATTGAAACCAGATGTCATTCCTAAAGTAGAAATACAGTTCCGTCGATAAAAAACTGCATATGAGGTAAGAGCACAGAGTGTACCAAGATTGAAACAGAGGAAGAAAACGAAACCTAATTTACTCAAAGTAAAAAAGTAAGCTTTTAAAAACCTACGGAAAGGCAACAATACAGATCTGATATGAATATGGGCAGTGTCCAAGTTACGCTCCTATACTGCACAGTATGGTTAAAGCTAAATCTCGGTTTATTTTTATACCTGGAATCCCCGCTAAAATGTATTACAGTCTACCCAAATGCAAACCAATGCTTACATGCCTGCTATCCATTCGCCTATATGGGCACACTATCATGGCTTTTTAGGAAGAAATAAAAACTTTACAAGGGTTTATGTTCTTACTATGATACGACTGTGAGTTGAGTGAAATAGTTTTATCAGTACTTGAGAACTACCCAGTAATGAAATTAAAGTGTACGGAACTGGTTGAACATATTTAGATAACATTATGTGTTTTAGATAAAATAATAAAAACAGCTCCTAGATCTTAGAAAACTTTTTCAAAATGTATATTAATTGTCCCCTAAACTTATAATCTCCCCCGTTTTACTTTTACCTTAACAGGATTTACATGTTTATCTGTTTATTCTATTTGGTATATCTAACATATGCGCATTATTTAACAAGAAAAAATACAACTGAGATTTAGAAGCATTCACTTACTGGTTGACTAATTGGTCGCACATCACAGGAAATAACAGATGATGCATGTGAACTAGAATGTGTCATTCCAGGAGGAACGGCAGCATATAAGTTGGTGCCATGGAAAGTAGTCTGAGTTGTGAAAGATGCAGCTTCAGCGGAAGACTGTGGACAGCTGACAACTGGAATTTTGCTCACAAGAGGTGGTCCTAGACGTAAATGAGAAAATCCTACTTCAAGATTAGAGGAGCTAGTAGTTGTAACAGTCTCTTGTTGTGATTGACCGCAAACAGCAAACTGATTAATAGCCATTGGAGGGTAATTGCGATAATCCTTAGATTCATGCTTATCATCAGGCCAGTCACGAATAATTGGCTTTGGATAAACACTAAACTGAGATTTAAAACGCTCGTCAAGATGACTGGCATCCACTGACTGACGACGAGTCGCCACTAGTTGCTTTGGCGTGTTTGCATAATGTTGAGAGGCGTGAAGATGTTTTAGAGGCGAGGGAAGAGGGCGATCGTTCGTCATTTCTTTGTTTTCTGAGGGCTTCAGATTAAGACATGCTTCTACTGCCTGTGCATTGAAAGTGTGATAGCGGACCTAGAAGAAAAAGATAAAAATTCAAAAAATTATAATCATTTCATTGACAAACATTGTAACTCTTAATAAAGTACCAACAATGGGGGGGGTTACAGAATTTTAGTCTGGATTCTAAATTATTAACCATCTGGCCTTTCTGTAACGATTAGCAGTTTTCAAAAAGAAAAACATAAATATCTCTATTTTCCAAGGACGTGCCAGTAGCTGTGGTAAGTCAATCCACGCGTGCTGTGACCAAAACGATGTGTTGAATTTATACACTAACGCACTAAGATCCAGACACTCTAATCGGAAGTTTTCCGCATGTGAATTAGAGGACTGTCAGTCACTGACATCTTGACTTCATACAAGCTATAATTCAGCCTACTTTGAAAAACTATAGGAATCCATAAAACAATAGTGATGTCTACAATGAACTAAGAAAAGGAAGAAAGGAAGAATAAAATTCAGAACAAAACCTCAAATATTCACTATACCTAACAAAATAAAGATGAGGCACTTCTGCATCTACTGCCTATTACGTATTACAATAACGGACCCACTACTACAGATATTTACTACTTACCGAAAACCATAAACCAATCACTACCCTGAAACCAACAATCAGCTACAATGCAGATGGATGCGATGTTGTTACTAGACTTAGACATTTATTCGTTCCGCATCCAGACAGACAGGATCAATATACGACCACGCATTACTGCGTAGCGCTTCCAATTACCACACATATCAAAGAATGCACTAAGAAGAAAGATGAAGAAATAAGGAGGTAAAGAGTCAAAGTGATCGGGAGTTGTGATTATATAGACTGAGATGAGAATTATGTGTAGATATATCTGCGCCAGTGAGATCGATTCTGAGTCTTGTTACCTAGAATTTTCAACCACTGGTTTCTGCTGTCTCGTCAACCCCAACCAAAAGGTCTACATTTTCGTACACGGCTCAGACGAACAGTCGAAGACCTTATGCGATGATGTAATGTTCTAGTCTGACCACCCTCAACCTTATTCCAGCCTTTTCTCTTTCCCCTAAACCGCTCAGCCATAATGTTAATTATCAGCTAACACCAAAATAAACAGTTCATTGGTTTGCGTGATACATGTCGGTTGACGTATCAACATTTTAGCATGCTGAATATTTCATAACGCAAAACCCGGCCTACACCGTTCCAAAACGAAAAACCGTTTGCTACCGATACTTCTGAATCTATATGGATGATGCTAGCTTTTCTGGATGACCGATAGGGGAGTGACGTACATCAACTGTTCGAAAATCATAATTCACAACATATAACGAAGACTGTGAATCCTGACTGTAAAGATTCCATAGTGAGATTGGAGAAATCGAGACGTACCCCAGAAACTCTGCTATCGCAACGTCATATACTTACTGTGCATACCACGATCTTTTAAACCCACAAACAATTTACGTAACGTTTGGTCCATAAGATGATTACCTATTACAACATGAGTGAAGGCCTATTGCGCTCACTTGATTACCAGGAATTTCACTCAGAGAAGCATTAACTATATGCTACGGGCCTGTAATTAATTATGGCAAGTGTTCGTTCACATGAACTGTGAGCACAGGTATTTTCAGAAAAAGCTCAAACGACATATACAAAAGCATTCACATATAGTGAAACCAAGAGACATAGGTAGCAGAAGGAGGAAGATTCTAATATGAAAAAAGTATCAGAGGAATAAATATTGAATGAAGGATTACTCAGTCTACAACTTACGCTGAGAACAAAAAGGAAAATCCACCTGCAGAAATGATGAATAACGAACTGTAAAACTTCTCCAATATCCCGGGGATTGTAGACATGTAGAAAAGATGGATGACTTGCTGACAGCAACTACATGGGCTGACTGCATGTTTTCATTTGAAGACCGCTTTTCCGAAATGACTTCAACTGTCATCACTGAGGCTTAATGGCTCGTTTCGTGACATGGTATGTCCACACAAGTTGGTACACGTGCACACCATGTATAAACCCCAAGCTTAATCTCAACGACAATGAAATGCTAGTTTCACCAAACGCCAATATTCTTAAGATACTTATCAGTGAATACCTGTGACCTAAGCTGATGGATAACGTGCAGTATAATAGTGTGCAGTTTAAATATTATCTTAAAAGGTCTGGGATTTGGAAGTAACATACCTTATAAAATGGCGTCTTCTCATAAATGTTAGCTTCTGCTATCTTTTTTAGAACATCTGCTCCACGGGTTTCTACGTAAAAATGAATAAGACCATCAGCAACGAGTAGTTCTACTGTGTCGAACTTGGTCTCTCCAACGTAGTGTTGTTTGTTTACAGGGTCAAAGAACAATTTAAAATTCTTCGCCACATTATCGAACCAGATGACCAACGTATAAGCATGTTCAGCACGTTGACTGTCTCTAATAAGGTAAGATCCGTCCTGTGCATCGGTAAGCAATTCCTCAGTTTCTTGGCGTGATATCGGACCATGATATTCAATACCGTATTGAGGTGGACAGTACTTCAGTAACTGAGTACAAGGGATGACATGCGGAGAGGGAGCTTCGCGCTGCAAATTATATACTGAAAAGTAACCAGAAGCAATGCAGAACTCACATTTGTTTTTCCAGATTCGAAGTTCAAGACCTCTATCTGACATCACATTTTATTCCATGAGAAAGATCGTAAAGTATCAGGAAATTATAAGGAACGGGATATATGCATGTAAACACCGGGAGGACATTCAATCCACCGCTCAAAGCATTCGAAATCCCCACATGCTTCCTATTGGTCACAGTTTTGAAATACAGCTAATAAAAACAATTTTGAGTGATTTATGCGATAAACTGATTGGCATTTTCCGGTTCTCTAAGAAAGTCCTTCAACTAACTTACCGTTTCTCGCCTCTAAATAAGTCTCCAGACCAAAGAACGATGGGACGATATTGTTCTACTGTGTGACATATCTAATAAACCAATTTAAGTGGGAAAACATTCTACCACAGTGCTCAAGTTCTGCCCTTATATTGTTAAATACCTGCATTTTTATTTCTCTTCGTGTGTCTAGTTTCGTAGACACGGAATAGCGCTTCACCAATCTTAGATGTTGGAGCTTGTTAGTCTAAAGCCTCTTCTATTCCATCAACAGATATTCGAAAGATTTTGAGGCCAAACAGTTTAATTTTCGGCCAAAGACGACGAAGCCCTCAGGGGAGCGTGGTTTAATAGCGTTTAGTTTCGTCTGAATGATGAGTTGTATCCGTGGTACTGAAAGAGGACTTATGTGTAGAAGAGTCAGAGTTCTCAACTCAGTACAGCGGTCATACAAAGCTAACAGACGGGACCAGCTATTATTGTTTAACCTCCGCATTATTCATAATATTTAACGTCTGAAAAGAATGAAGAACATAGGAGGACAATTTCACTATTCACAAGAATATGGTTGTATAAATTCGCGGAGCATCGAACTAAATATAATGCCTTCAATATTCGTTCGTAATTTCTCGCATCAAATTAGGATTTTCCGTTCGAGTATAAAAACTGTCAGCCCATGTTGCAATTCTTTTTCCAGCGGATTTGTATGCTTGTCAAACAGTTGCATACCTGAGTGCTCCAAGCGTTCATTCTGTGGACTGTTACGAAAGGAGGGAAACACCGTTCTCCGTCGACAAACCATGAAATTCGAATCTTGCTACAACGTAGGAAAAAGTGTTGGAATCTTGCTACCCACCTCAGTACACCCAAAGTAGTGAAGCGTTACCAAGAAGCCCGTAACAAATATATCGCTGCTATTCACCAGTCTCGAATACCTTTGAAACACGTCTTGATCAGGCTGCATTACAACACCCAAAGAGGTCGTTTTCCAACATGAACTACAGAAATGAGATGTGCCGTGGTACACTAGCCTTAATCGAAAGAACAGAAACTGACCGTTTGACTAAAGACAACTAGGGAAAAGCAGAAGCCGTCGCTGAATATTTTACTGAGGTCTTCACGCAGGAATCTTCTCTGGACACTTATCCAACAGCAGAAGCATTGATATCCAAAAAAATAAACTCCGTGGATACCGATCGCAATGATGTAATTTGGACACTAAGTACTCTCGATGTAGAAAAATCAACACGGCCGAATGAGTTGCATCCAAGTCTGCTCAGACAGCTTGCACAGTATGTAGCCAGCCCATTGACCATTACATTCGGACTGTCTTTCAGTGAAGGCACACTCTCCTATGACTGGAAGGATGCCATAGTAACACCTATCCACAAGGCAGGTTCTAGGCAGCTCCCATCACATAACAGACCGATAAGTTTTACCAGTGCTGTGATGAAAATCCTAGAAAGCGTAATCAAGAAGGCCATCATAGTCCACTTGAAGAGCAACGCCACTATCTCGTTCACAGCACGGTTCTCATAGAGATTTCTCCCACTTGACGAACCTTCTTACAGCCAGAGACAGTTGGGTTCAGTCTAAAGATGATGGGATACCTGTAGATGTCACTTTCATTGACTTTGGTAAGGCGTTCGACAAAGTACCTCATTCCAGGTTACTCGGGAAACTGGGAAGTTTTGGAATCACTGGCAGTCTGCTTGCATGGATAAGAGACTTTCCTGTTGGTAGGAGACGAAGGGTTAAGATCAGTTCCCAACTCTCCATTTGAAAGTTGGTAGAAAGTGGGGTGCGGCAAGGTAAAGTCCTGGGCCCCCTGCTGTCTCGCACGTACGTAAATGAGCTGCCAAATATCACGAAATCCCCTGTGGTTCTCTACGCTGATGGTGTAAAACTCTGACGGAAAATTAGGAACGATGAGGATACACGTGCGCTCCAGGCAGATCTGGACAGTCTGTTTACCTGGTCAGAGAAATGGTTACTGCTTATCAATGCAGGTAAATGTGCAAGCATGCACTTGCGGCACACACACGGCAACACCTGCGATATTGATGGGACCCCTAAGCCGTCATTACTGACTCGCAGTCACCTAAGAGTCACGGTGAATTGTGACTTGAAGACCACGACTCACTGTCAATCGGCAGCAGCTCAGAGTTTTATTACTCTCTGGGCATTACACGTAACGTTTTCGAAAATAAATGGTGATATGTTCACCATCTTATGATCGTATGATCCCTGCAGTGGCTGGCCGCATATATTATTACTATTACTACTACTATTATTACTATGTGTGGCTGCCCTCTGAACTCTTTCCAAGAGGTGTGCGTCACCATCCAGACAGGGATCGGCCGCCTGTGTACAGTTTTCTAATTAAGACCTAAGTAAGTATGTGTATAAGATGGTGAACATGTCACCGTCTATCTTCGAAAACGTTACGTGTAATGCCCAGAGAGTCCTAAAACTCCGAGCTGCTACCGACGCAACTCATTCGGCCGTGTTGATTTTTCTACATCGAGAGTACTTAATGTCCAAATTACATCATTGCGATCGGTATCCACGGAGTTTATTTTTTTGGATATCAATGTTTCTGCTGTTGGATAAGTGTCCAGAGAAGATTCCTGCGTGAAGACCTCAGTAAAATATTCAGCGACGGCTTCTGCTTTTCCCTAGTTGTCTTTAGTCAAACGGTCAGTTTCTGTTCTTTCGATTAAGGCTAGTGTACCACGGCACATCTCATTTCTGTAGTTCATGTTGGAAAACGACCTCTTTGGGTGTTGTAATGCAGCCTGATCAAGACGTGTTTCAAAGGTATTCGAGACTGGTGAATAGCAGCGATATATTTGTTACGGGCTTCTTGGTAACGCTTCACTACTTTGGGTGTACTGAGGTGGGTAGCAAGATTCCAACACTTTTTCCTACGTTGTAGCAAGATTCGAATTTCATGGTTTGTCGACGGAGAACGGTGTTTCCCTCCTTTCGTGACAGTCCACAGAATGAACGCTTGGATCACTTGTGTGTATAAATGTTTGAAAAGGCACCATGTAGCTTCAACTGGGGCTTCTAGATTGACTATTCAGTCCTATAAATGGGCTCCCAAGTTAATAGCTTCCATATTTGCTTTCTATATGTCTGTCCAGCTGGGGCATCTGTCCGGCGCAAGACGGCTAATGCGAATCTGAAGATGATCACAGCGTACTCACTCCTACCAAGGGGTCCAAGGTACCAGATGAAGTTTACATCCACACATTCATGTGTGAGAATAGTAAGTCTAGAACTAATGGAGCATGCTGATGATCATATCTGGTTGCTATCCCAGCGTGCCATATAAGGGCCGTGGAGATTGATGTTTCCATTAACCTGCAATCAAGCGAGTTACGTGATGCTTCTGTTGTTAGTCTATCCCAGTCGGATGATAGCACACTGAAGTCTCCTACAACCAGGAACTGCATTTATCTATCCAGAGGCTCAGCTCATTCCGGAGGAGGTATGCTGCCTCACATTCAGGGCTTCGACGTATTGCGATTAAATTAACATCTTGTCACTTGAGTTTTGGTCAGTAGCACAGAATTTCAAGTGTCCCACTTCCATGTCCAACCATTCCTGCACTTTTTGTGGTAAGGTATTCTTAGCGTAAAGGGTGACACCGCCACCTCTGTGTGCTAACCTCTCACTTCGAAACGGAACAAATCCTCCTAAATGTGTCTCACAGTCACTGATCCCAGAAGGCAGACAAGTTTTTGAGATGGCAATAATACCAGGACTCTCTATGCTTATTACATCAGCAAGCTAGACCACTTGTTTGACGGACTACTCGCGTTTGTGTCCAAGACCATAAAGCTACTTGAGTGAGTTTGCGTTCTACCCATATAGACTTTGGAATCATTTGTTGCTGAAACCTGACTGTATGAGAGCCCACTACTTCCAGATTTTGCTCTCCGGCTGCTAATCTTGATTTTAGTTCTGCTTCTCGTTTTTTTATTCTACCCGTTAGAGCCAAATCCTTACGCATGAACACTCCAGGTCCTTCAAGTCCAACAGCATTCTTCAAAATCTGATAGTCCCCCTCTGTTGATATGAACACGACTTTAAGTAGCCGAAACTTGTTTTCAGTGGGGACTGTCTCTTTTTTGCCCACTATACATTATCTTAAGTAGGGCGACTCCTGATATGTTTTCATGTAAAGACTGGTTGATCAAACTTTGTACCTTATCGACGTCGTGTTCAAAACGTTTACGAGGTTCTGAGTCTCCACTTTCTCCTGCTGTGCGGAAGATTGCAGACCTACCTTATCTTTCTCCTGTGAAGAGATGATAGCTGGTTCGATGACGGTTGCTGGCTTCTTGTGGTACCGTTTAGACTTGATTACCTACCGTTTCTCGCAGTCGGGTACACAAGGCTTTCTACAGCCTAGTCTATTGGCCTTGACACGGACAGCCTCGGAATGGACTTGGATCCAGTTCTGTGTAATTTTCATCACTGATCAGGTCATCAAACTGGGCATGACCTGCAGCCTGCATGGTTCAGTGGTTGCCACTGCTAGTGCTTCGCTGCTGTCTGTTCCGTTGGAAGTAGACCTAGTCTTACGGTTGGTAATTCGCCGACCGGGTCTGCCATTTCTGCGAGAACCTGAAGATACTCGCTTCACCCTGATCGGTGTAGCTTTTCTGAGTCGCTGTTAGAAAATCCAGTAGTTAATCTGCCCCCCCCCCCCCGACTAACGGCTTATCGTGGGAAGTTGTTTAAATTCTGCATAGTAATCTGTATGCCAACGGGT